TACAACAGTTGCGCCCCCGAAGCAATAATCCCGAGTAAAGTATACAATCGTCGAGTCCCCGAAGCCATAAAACTTCGCAAATTACGCCGCATTCGCAGTGCCGAGGCCAAAAGTACTCCAAGGTGCCCGAAGATGGTTCCAATACGGCCCAGGAGGGCCCGAAGAGGCTCCAAGAGCGCTCCAAGAGGCTTCCCGAAAGAGCCACAAGAGGCCGACATCGTGGCCAAGATGCGCCCAGAAGGACTTCAAGACACCCGAAAGATACCCCACGATGCCCCAAAAGTCCCCAAGATGCGCCCAAACCGCCTCCAAGAGGCCTCTCTCTTTTTTTTCTGGGGCTCCCCACGACACCCCAATACATATACAAGAGGCCTCAGACCCACAAGTCAGGCAGGAGAACGCCAACATCTCAATGCGCGCTGATGACTCCCCTCCGCCCCCGCATGATTTTCCCAGATGCGCCGAGGCAGCGACGAGACGCGCCGACGCGACTCTGATATATCCCATTATCATAGAGAGGGGCTCAACGGCAAGGGGGCGAAACCCTCACGGCTATACGCACGTGCAAATATAGGTGTGTGTCCGCGCTTCATTGGAAAAGTCGCGCGCGTTCCACGCGCGCTCGAGCTCTGGTAGTTCTGGAAACTCCGCGCGCGCTCAAGTTCTAGTGGCCGCGGTGGTTCCTGCCCCCGATGTTGGAAGCCATGTGTGTGGACGTCGGCGAATGAGCTTCGAAGGGGATGAGTGGGTGTGCCTACATTAACACGTGCGCTTGTCATCCCCTGTCGTACTCTCCTTCCCATCGTCCTCGTTCCTCCTATCCCCTTCGCTCCATCTGACCCCTTATCCTTCCCACCTTCCGCGACCTCTTGGGAACCTGGTCAGAGATCTGCTGGGGACTTCCACGGCATAAGTTACCCAACTTTGTCTGGATGGCTGTCTTGCTACATCAGCCTCTGTTGCAGCAGGGAGGCGATCGCACCGTGGCTCCGGGTGCGCCCAGGCCACCGAATCTCCACTGCACTCCTCGCGCCCGCAGCTAAGACGCCCGCGCGCCCTGGGAACCCCCCCCGGCGGCAAGCTCAACTCGCATCCCTCTGTCGGGAAGCAATGCGAGGGAAACTGGGTCTACCAGCGCAAGCCGGAACATAATTTACCCAACTTTGTCTGAATGGCTGTCTTGCTACATCAGCCTCTGCTGCAACAGGGAGGCGATCGCAATCTCGGAGAGAGCGTGATCCACCGCCGCTTTACTGTGGAAAATTGCCAGCCTTTTCCTCCGGAACCCGGGGGTCGCCCCCCCCCACCCCCTCCGAAAATCCCCCTCCCCCCTGCTGGACCCCCCCCGTCTCCCCCCCCCCCTCCCCCGGCAAAACCCCCCCTCCCCTAACCCCCCCCCCCCCCCCTCCCCCTCGAAAACCGGGGGGGTCACTACAGGTTCGAACCCCTCCCCCCCTCTGGATCTGGAAAACCGGGGGGGGGTCACTACCGGTTCGAACCCCCCCCCCTCGAAAACCGGAGGAGGGTCACTGCCGCTTCGACCCCCCTCCCCCCACGCACCGCCAGCAAACGACTCCCGGTCCCTACCACCGTCCGCATCACATCCCCCACTGTTGTTCCCAGCACCACTGTCCTCACCACCACTGTCCCCACTGGTTCCACCACCGTCCCTACTGTCCCCACCAGTGCCCCCACCACTGTCGCACTGTCCCCACTGTTCCCACCACTGTTCCCACCACGGTTCCACTCTCCCCACTGTCTCCACGGACCCAACCACTGCCCGACTATCCCCACTGTCCCCACTGTCCCACTGACTCCTCCGCTGTCCCACTGAGCTGTCCCACTGTTCCCACCGCTGTCCCCACTGTCCCCACCACTGTCCCCACTGTACCTCTGTCCCATTGTCCCACCGCCGTCCTCGCCACCGCCTTCACCACTGTCCCCACCACCATTGTACCCTCCACTGTCCCACTGTTTCCACCTCATTCCCACTGTCCCCACACCACTGTCCCCACCACCACCGTCCCCACCACTGTCCACTGTCCCCCCCGTTCCCACCATTGTCCCCACCACTGTCCCCACCACTACCGTCCCCACCACTGTCCCACTGTCCCACTGTCCCCACTACTGTCCCGCTGTCCCCTCGCCACTGTCCCCACCAACACCGCCCCCACCACTGTCCGCACCCCCACTCGGATTTCGAGGGGGGGGGGGTTCGAACCGGTAGTGACCCCCTCCCCCCCTTTTCACGATGAACTGGGAAGGGGGGGGGAGGGGTTCGAACCGGTAGTGACCCCCCCCGGTTTTCCGGAGGGGGGGGGGAGGGGTTCGAACCGGTAGTGACCCCCCCCCGGTTTTCCGCCAGCAGCGGTAGAACACGACTTTCCAATCTCTACTGCGCTGCGCGCGCCCGCAGTCAACGCGCCCGCGCGCCCCGGGAACCCCCGCTGGTGGTAAGCTCAGCACGCATCCCTCCGTCGGGAAGCAATATGAGAAAACTGAAGGGTCTACCCGCACAAGCCAAAACACGATTTACCGAACTTGTCTTGTGCAGTCATGTGGCCTCCGACACATCAAATAAACGCTGCAATGCCGGACCCTAGTTCCAAGCTGCCTGGGCGGCGGGGCGGCGGCGACTGTGGACTCGAATTCTCCCCTCAAACAACTGTGGGAGGCTGGCGCGGGAACCCTTTGCAACGGCGTCGGCTTCTTCAATGAGCCGAAGTGTGATCAAAAGGAAGTCGGAAACAACCATGCATCGCCATGCCCAAGAATGTCCCGCAATACCAAAAAATCATTAACCTCCATCATCCGCGGACACACGGCGCAGCGTCGTAGATTATCCGTGTCAGCGCAGCCTTGACAACCGAAAATACAATGCCTGGCCGCGGACCTACATCGGGAAGACGTACAGAGGCCTCGGCAAGCAATCCTAGTCGCGGTGACAGCAAGATACGGGCTGACTCTTGCCCGAAGCACCGGAGAACTCCACGACGTGTCAGGAGGCCTGTCGGGGTCAACCATAGGGGGCCACTTCATGAGACGCAGGTTGAGAATCTCAATCACCGAGCGCCAAGGCTTCGAGTGCCAACGCTTAAGGCGATCATACACTTGACGTTGAACCGCCTTTCGAGCAACCGTGGGCGGTCAGTTCAGCATGCCAGGAAGTAGGGGGCCGCATGGTATACAATCGAATATTTCCACCATCCACGGTGACGGCGCACAAGGATACACTCATCTGAAGCTAGAAATGCACGAACTCTCCCAAATCATCACGAAACTCAGCTCAGCGTGCACCACAACGGGCACGAGCGGCAAGAATGACATGACGCAGGTGACGCAACTCTACCCCTCCCCCACACATCATGAGACCCTCCAATAACCCCGTCGGGATCACATTCCAAGGCCTCTGCGCCAGCATCTGCGCACAGCGATAGTATGCAGCATGAAAGGCTGGTGACGGGGTGTAAAGCTGCAGGACATGCTGGGGCCAGAACGCGGAAGGTCCGCACACTGTCATGTCAGTCAGTCCCAGGCCGGCCTTCTTTACATCAGGGGTCCATCTCAGCAGCCGCGGGATGATTTCACCCCGCGCGCCCCAGGCATGGGCTTCGCCACTTGGCCCGCTCATAACTCCCAAGTACTTCGCGAACCGAGCAATGACGAAATCGCGGAGGGCAGGCCCGAGAGAGCGCACTATGTCCTGAATCGTCGTCACCGAGGCGTTGCCGACAATCGAGAGCACATGTTTCAAGTCCCGTTCGAGCCCAACTGGGTCTTCCAGGGCAGACGATAACTCCTAGATCGGCCCCGCGCCCAGGAGCGCATTCGGCAGGAAAAAGCAAGTCGCCACAATGCGCAAGTACTCAGTCTGTGCGTTGGCTGCTTCGGCGGGGTAACCACTTCAGAACTGGGTCTGTGGCCAGTGCGAAGAGACACGCGCTTGCTGGAACACCCCGTTGTAATCCTCGCCCAACATTAATGGTGAGATCCTGGACGCCCCCCCAACATGATCGACGCCTTACTGCCCGAGCAGAGGGCAGCAACAAAGGCGCACATCGCACCATGTACGCCCATGTGCGCGCGTCAGAGCCGCAAGAATCCACGCGATGTCAATCGAGGGAAACGCCGCTGCAAAATCTGTCAGCAGCTGTAGACAGTGTGGCGCGCCATCCAAACACTGTTGAACCCCCCATGCATCTGCGATCACGGTGTTCGAAGAGATCTGACGCCCAGCAGTCCCACCCCACTGGTCCCCATGAGCCGTCAAAACAGCAAGGGCATAGAGCGGGGCGCCAGAGGCCAGGGACATTGTCTTGGCGCCGGGGTCGCAAAGAGCAATCGGCCGAGTCGCATCGGGGCCCCGCGTCACCCCTGCGCCGCGCCATCAGGGCTCGTGCCCTTCGGCAAGGAAAACAAACTCATACCACGCATATTACCCGGCAGCGTCGCACTGCCGTTATGGCATTGCACCCCATGCATATCGCATGGTAGCTCGCGCCCGCCCACCACCTGCTGGGCTGCATAAGGTACGCCGTCCTTCCCAGGAGCAGTGCTGCGCCCCCACTTCACGCGGTCTTCAAATTCACTGATTTCGAGCTTCCACTCGCGTCGCTGCCGCGGGTCAAACGTCCTCAACTCTGCTACAGGAGCGCAGCAGCTCAGGCCACAGCGCACGATCCACGTGAGCGGTCTGAACAATTCTACCCCAGTGAGTGGCAAGGTGGGGCCCGGCCTCTTCGAAACTAGCGCAAACCGTGCCGTCGGAAGCACGGGGACCATTCAAGAACACTCGTCGTCGGAAGTGCTGCCAGAAGAGTTTGCTACGCCGATGTTTGTTTTTAACGCGGTCCTTCCCCTCCTCCGATATGCTGCTGTCCCCGGGCTGCCGTGCCTCTCTCTCTCTCTCTCTCTCTCTCTCTCTCTCTCTCTCTCTCTCTCTCTCTCTCTCTCTCTCTCTCTCTCTCTCTCTCTCTCTCTTTCCTGCTGCTCAATGCGCTCAATTTGTAACCGGCCTGCGTGCGCACAAAGCTCGGCAAATCGGGTGCAAACCATGGCTTCTACATCCAAGTCTCTCCCCAGTTCGGCATGCACTGCAAACGCCCGCGCACGTCAGCAGGCCTGGGCCGACCGAATGGTTCCCCGAATCCCAGGACCAACAGTCCAAGTACGCTCCTTGGCCAGCTGCACTCGCCGCGTAGCCGTGAACGGTGGCAGCTCGCGACTTATCTACAGCTCCGACACCCGCCCCATCTCGGCCACGGTCGCGGGCTCGAAGCAGGCCTCCGCCACGCCGTAGCTGTGGAGGCTCGCGTCCGAGGAGTGGACGATGGGGGCCCATTCTCTGGTCCAGCGCGACTCCAGCAGCACCATGAGGCCGAGGTAGTTCTCGAGCCCCTCTCTGCCCGTAGGCCACAGCGCGGAGAAGGCGCGGTAGCTTTGCGCCACGAAAGCATACACCGAATGGAATATGGACAAGACCTCGCGGCGGACCAGGGCCATGAAGGTCACGTGGCCAAACGCCATCTCCAGTTGCCAGCCTGCAACCTCGCGGGCGTTGCGCCGCCTGCGGCGCGCCCCGCCTTGCCAAGCAGCTCTTGCCCCGCTCTGCCCTTGACACGCCGGGCGGGGGCTTCCTCCCCCCCGATGGCGCTGTCAAGGTCGATCCAGCGGCGGGCCGCCGCGAAGACGCGCTGCTGCACATCCGCCCGTATGGCATCCATCTTGAGGCGGCTGATCTCTCCCTGCGGAGATCTGCCAGCTCTATGAACACCTCCATGCAAGTAATTCAGACTGCTGCAGGCTGCGTTGCCACCCCGCAGCCAGCGGCGCCGCTGGGGCCTGCCGAGGCCCTCGCATCACTCCTCCAGCAAGGCTGCCAGCGGGGCCACAGGCAAGAAAGACGATCCCTGCAGCCCCTGATTGCCCTCTCGCCCTGGGGGCACGGCCGGGCCCCCGTGCCCCCCCCCGCCTGGCGCGCCACGTGGCCAGCGGGCGGGGCCCGCGACCCGCCCGCCACGCCTGCCCCTGCCGCGCCCTCGCCACCAGCGTCGACGCCTGCATCGACTCCGGCGGGGGGCCCTGCAGCCGCCAGCCCGCCTGCGCCCGCAGCCGCCGCCGCCGCAGCCCGGAAGGCCTCCGCAGGCGTGGCGCCTGGGGCCTTGGCGCGGGCCCGCAGAGCCTCCAGCTCGTGCTCCTCCTTCGGGGGGCGGCTCGCCTAGCTCCTGAGCGCGTCTGGCACCAGGTCGAGCGGGTTGGACGTCCCCGCCAAGTGCTTCGCCGCCCCCCAGTCGGCCTGGTCTGCCCCGTGCGCGTTGGCCTCCGTGTACTGAAGAAGCCTTCTAGCGACCACCTCCAGCGACGCGAGGGCCCCCATGTTGACTTGATCGTAGGTTCCCGCCAGGTGCAAGGTCGGCACCTCGTGGTAGGGTCTGTCCCGACGGGTCACTCCAGTCTCCCTACACCACTCCTGGAATCAGATCTTAGGGGCCCCCCCATGGCGATACATCTTGCGGCACGCCTCCAGACAGGCTGGGAGACCCCGAAGACTCGAGTCTGTGAAGACCTCCTGGGTGCCCTCTTGCACCACTTTGCGCCGTTCCTTGAAGCGGGCCCCTGTCTCGTCTACGTCGATCCAGCATGTGCGAAGGTCCTCCTGAGCCTCCGCGCCTACAGAGGCCGCAGCCGCGGGCGCGCCACCAAGCATCTCTCCGGGCGTCGTTGGGGCGCCCTCGACGATCGGGAACAGCCGGTCGTCCAACCTCGACATTGGGGGACGCAAGCAATCGGCGGCGACCAGCTTCCCGTCCTTCCAGGAGCCAGCGTCCTCATCCTTCACGTACTCGATGGGGTACCACTCGCCAAGCTCGTTGCGATCCAAGCCAAAACGTCCTCGCAGCACCGCCGACGCCGTCAGCTCCACATGCCTGCCATATGTACCAGCGTCCTCCAGCGCTGCGGCGACCCAGGCCCCTGGCGGCCGCTCCTCAGGCGGCGGGGGCGGCGGCGGCACGGCGTCGGCGAGCACGGCCAGGCCGTCCTCGCCGTCAGCACCCGCCGCCATGGTCTTCTGGCGAAACCGCCGCCGCCGCACGCGGGGCACCTCCACCGCCGCCAACGGCGGGATCGGCATCTGGCGCCCTTACCAGTCCTGGCCATCGCCCGACCACCGGTCGGCAGCGCCAGCGCCATGCTCGAGCACGGCCTCGCCCCGTCCACGCCGTACCAGCGTCAGCACCTCCTCACGCTGTAGCTCCCGGCTGAACGACACCACGTTCCTCACCCCCGCAGGGTACTTGCGGCGCCCCGTCACGGCTACGAGACTGGTGTAGTCTCCCAGCCCCTCGGCATACAGGTCATTGTCCGCCGTGTACACTATCCAGGGCGTGAGATCCTCAGCGGCTGGCCAGCACAGGATGCGCTCGTGAGACCAGCCTGGGTCCTCCTCGAACTGCACCAGCACTCGCAGCCCTGGCATGGCGGCCCCTAGCGCCATCACGCCACGTGGATCCGCGCGGCGCGCAAGGGCTCTCGCACCCGCTGCGCCGAAGCCCTGCTGGTCGCCAGGCGCCAGCCGCCCCAGGCCAGCGCACACGCCGCCGCGCCGAGCGAGCCGAGCAAGCCACCGACGGGCACCTCCACGGTAGCCCCGAGGCCCTCGCCCGCCAGCCGCAGCGGCTGCGGCGCCACGGGCGGCAACACGCAGACGCAGGCAGTCGTCGCGCTGGTAGTCGACGACGTCCAGGTCGTCTCAGAGCTGTCCTCCAGCTCGTGCCCTGGCCCGTCTCGAGGCCACTCCAACACTGGCTCAGGAGCCAGCGCGGGTCCCAGCACTAGATGCGCAGCGAAGCCTGCCTAGAAGGTTGACAGGGCCGCCGCCGCGCTGGCCGGGCTATGCGGCTGCATGCCCGCTTGCAGCTTGAGCCCAGGCAGCCGCGGGGAGGGCTGCAATGGGCGGCAACAAATCAAACGGCCTCTCAGAGCAAACACGTGCACATCGCACCCTTACGGAGCGGCAGTGGGGGGCGACACGAATGGGGGGTGAAGAAAAAGGGCCCTGAAGGCGCCGTTTGGGGCTCCTTTTGGAGCCAGCAGGGGCCCCATAGAGGCCTGAAGCCTGAAGGGCCCTCTTAGGGCCCCTTCCTTCACCCCCCGTTCAGCCCCCCCGCCCCAGTGCCACCCGCCCGAACACTGCCTCCGAGCTCTCCTGGGCCCCCCATCAGAGCGCCCCGGCACCGCCATGGCGGCAGAGGGCCGCAGGTGCCGCCCGCGTCGGCGGCGGCAGCGGCGACGACGCGGGCGGCGGAGGAGCGGGGCCAGCAGGGGGAGAGCGGAAGCCAGGGGCGGAGGGGAGCGTGGGGCGGGGATTTCCCGCCCCACGCTTCCCTGGCCCCTTGCTTCCCTTGCTCGCCCCCTGCTTCCCCCGCCCCCTGCTTCCCCCCCCCCCCCCCCGCAGAAATCCCACGGAGCGCCCAAGCATCATCTCACGGAGCGCCTCACAAGCCTCTCCGTCCGTAGGAGGGGCTTGTAAGGCGACCCGTGGGATTTCTGAGGGGGGCGAGGCTGGACGCCTTTTTTTGGAAACCCCGTGGGCCTCTTGCGGGAGTCTGGATGGGGTTCTTGCGGCCTCTTGCGTCTTCGGGGCAGGCGGAGCCATTTTGGGGTGTCCTGGGCCGCTCAAGGGGCCTCTGGGGAGCGCCTCCAGCCGCTTTTGGCCATCTCTCGGAGCTGCCTTGGGCTCTCTTGTAGCCCTCGTCGGGCCCTCTGAGGCGATCGTCGGCGTTTCCTGGGGTGTCCTGAGGCTCTTTCGGACAGTCGCGGATTGCACTGTATGCGCGTTGGTGCGATCTTGCAAGGTCGGCCGGCAGCAGCTGGCTGGCCATACAGGGCTCCAACACGCGATGCCCCTTAATCAAGGGTCGAAAGTATGAGGAAACGCGCACGAACATAACCGAATCACCGTTGGATGCACTGAGTGGCGCCTGGTTGCTTCTTGGCGGCGAGCCCAGGGGGGAAGAGAGATGGGGCGGGACTTCTCAGAAGGTTCAGAAGGCCCCCAGCCTTCTGAGAAGCGTTCTAAGCCTTCTCCAAAGACATACCAGCTCCAGAGACGGCGCGACGGCTTCTGACAAGCCAGGCCGCCTTCTGAGAAGACCTGCTCCCTTTCACTTCCCTCCTGGGCTCGCCGCCGAGCTTGAGGAGAGGGAGGATGGGAAAGCGTGTTCCTTTTATCCGCCCAGGCGAGGCGGCATGGGCACGCACGTCTGAAAGGGGGCTCGTTTCGTCCCGACCTTGAACGGGGGACCTGGAAGGCGCGGTGCGAGCCGCCGTGTCCGCCGTGAACAACCACCGTACGCTGGGCTTCGAGGCCTAAATTGCTCATTCACTGCCCCAGGCCTGGCTTATCCTGGACCCGGGAGCGGTATGTAGCACCCCGCAGTTGCGGAAAAGAGTGAGGGGGCGGCAGGGACGTCGGCAGTCTGCGAGGCTCTGAAGAAGCCCGCCGCAAGCGCCGATTTTTTCGTTCAAGCGATGCGGGTGGGTCGCGGGGTGGGTCGCGGGTGGGTCGCGGGTGGGTCGCGGGTGAGTTCGCGGGCTGGGTCGCAGGTGGGTCGCGTGTGGGTCTCGGGTGGGTCGCGAGTGGGTCGCGGGTGGGTCGCGGGGTGGGTCGCGGGGTGGGTCGCGGGTGGGTCGCGGGTGGGTCGCGGGTGGGTCGCGGGCCGAGTCGCGGGACGGACGACGACAACAAACAACAGCAAACAGCAACAGCAACAGCAACAGCAACAACAACAACAATCAGTTTAAGACTGTTCGCCCTTATATGCTCGAGTGTCCAATAACGCGTATTTCCCAAACCCTCGATACCCGTCCTCTTCTTCTTCGATCGAGCCCCTTTTGGGGGGTATACCTTTCTTCCTTGCAGGCCGGGCCCCGGCAAGCGGCGGGGCGGCCGCGGACCGTCGGCCTGGCCAGCGGCAGCGGGGCGGCCGCGGACCGTCGACCCGACCCCAAGAGGGACGGACAGGGGACCGACCACGACGACGACGACGACGACGACGACGACGACGACGACGACGACGACGACGACGACGACGACGTCGAAGACGACGGCGACGACGACGACGGCGACGACGAGCGAAAGCGAGAGCGAGAGAGAACGACAGCAGGGCCACGAAGGGCACGAAGTAGGCCACGAAGGGCGACAGCGGGGACACGAAGGGAATGCGTATGCGAAAGAGCGGGGGCCACGAAGTGCAGATAATGCGGGGCCACAGAGGGCAACTATGGGGCCACTGAGGGTAGCAACTGGGCCACGTAGGACAGTGGGGGGGACACAAATGGCGACAGCGGGGCCACGAAGGGCATGCACATGTGGCCACAACGGGCGCGACTCCTGGGTGCCTGGGTGTCGGGAGCGCGGCGCTTGGGCAAATTGCAAGAAATTCCAACGCAAGGCCATTCTTGAGTAAATTGCAAGCAAATCTCCAGCGAGAGCGCGACTCCAGAGCGCCGGGAAAGCGATTCCTGAATAAATTGTAAGGAAGTCCCCAGCGAGAGCGCGATTCCTGAATGAAATGCAAGGAATTCTCGGGCGGGAGCGGGGGTCCTCGCTAAATTGTAAGGAGGTCTCAGGCGGGAGCCGTTGTTGTTGTAACCCAAGGGCCAGGGGCCCAGCTTGAGCAGGAAGACTTTCCCTGTCAAAGAACGAGGTGCGAGCGTCGAGGGGCACACTCCGATTGAGAAAAACAGTATGCACCGGTGGAGGGGGGATCAACAATAATTAATCTTCAGAAATGGGAATTCAACAACAACAACAACCACAACAACAATAATAATAACAACAACAACACCAACACCAACACCAACACCAACACCAACACCAACAACAACCACAACCACAACCACAACCACAACCACAACCACAACCACAACCACAACCACAACCACAACAATAACAACAGCAACAACACCAACAATAACACCAACAACCACAACAACATCATCGTCATCATCATCAACAACAACAACCACAACAACAACAATCAGTTTAAGACTGTTCGCTCTTACTGGCACGCGTGTTTTGCATTCTGTATACCCCAACCCTCGTTACCCGCCCACTTCGTCTTCGATCGCGCCCACCTTCGGGGGGAATATGTTCCTTGTCGGCCATTGATTGCAATGTGAGGAACTCTCGAGCGAGAGCGCCGTTCCTGAATTCGGGGGCCTCTCTGGCAAGGCCAGGGGATCTCGGAATACATACGTAGCACCCCGCAGTTGCGGATAAGAGTGAGAGGGCGGCGGGGACGTCGGCAGTCTGCGAGGCTCTGAAGAAGCCCGCCGCAGGCGCCAAAGTCCGCCGCAGGCGCCGATTGTCTGGTTAAGGCAATGTTGGTGCGTCGCGGGGTGGGTCGCAGGTCGGTCGCGGGTGGGTCGCGAATGGGTCGCGGGTGGGTCGCAGGTCGGTCGCGGGGTGGGTCGCGGGTGGGTCGCGGGTGGGTCGCGGGTGGGTCGCGGGCGGGTCGCGGGGTGGGTCGCGAAGGGGTCGCGGGTGGGACGCGGGCTGGGTCGCGGGTGGGTCGCGGGTGGGTCACGGGCGGGTCGCGGGCGGGTCGCGGGGTTGGTCGCGGGTGGGTCGTGGATGGGTCGGCTGGGTCGCGGGGGGGGCGATGACAACAAGCAACAACAATAACAATAATAATACCAACAACAATAAGTTTAAGACGGTTCGCTCTTATCTGCCCGAGTGTCCGTTAACACGTGTTTCTTAAACCCTCAATATCCGCCCTCTTCGTTTTCGATCGTACCCCTTTTGGTGGGTATACCTTTCTTCCCTACAAGCCAGGCCCTGGCAAGCGGCGGGGCGGCCGCGGACCGTCGGCCTGGTCAGCGGCAGCGCTGATCGGCGGCAATCCGACCCCAAGAGGGACGGACAAGGGACCGACCACGACGACGATGTTGACGACGTCGACGACGACGACGTCGACGACGTCGACGACGACGACGGCGATGACGACAACGACGACGACGGCGACGACGACGAGCGAAAGCGAGAGCGAGAGAGAGAACGACAGCAGGGCCACGAAGAGCACGAAGTAGGCCACGAAGGACGACAGCGGGGACACGAAGGTAATGCGTATGGGGCCACGACGGGCGCGAACGAGCGGGGGCCACGAAGGGCAGGTGATGCGGGGCCACCGAAGGCAACGGCCTACGAGGGTAGCAACTGGGCCACATAGGACAGCGAGGGGGCCACGAAGGGCGACAGCGGGGCCACGAAGGGCATGCATATGGGGCCACGTCGGGCGCGAACGAGCGGGGACCACGCAGGGCATACGTATATTGGGCCGCAAAAGGCAAGGACGGGGCCACTGAGGGCAGCAAAGGGGCCACGAAGGGCAGCGAGGAGGCCACGACGGGCTGCAAAGGGGCCACGAAGGGCAGCGAGGGGGCCACGAGGGGCTGCAACGGTGCCACGAAGGGTAGCGAGGGGGCCACGGGGGGCTGCAACGGGTCCACGAAGGGCAGCGAGGGGGCCACGAAGGGGCTGCAACGGGGCCACGAAGGGTAGCGAGGGGGCCACGGGGGGCTGCAACGGGGCCACGAAGGGCAGCGAGGGGGCCACGAGGGGCTGCAACGGGGCCACGAAGGGCAGCGAGGGGGCCACGAAGGGCGCAACGGGGCCACGAAGGGCAGCGAGGGGGCCACGAAGGGGCGCAACGGGGCCACGAAGGGCAGCGAGGGGTGCAACGGGGCTACGAAGGGCAGCGAGGGGGCCACGAAGGGCTGCCACGAAGGGCTGCAACGGGTCCACGAAGGGCAGCGAGGGGTCCACGAGGGGCTGCAACGAGGCCACGAAGGGTAGCGAGGGGGCCACGGGGGGCTGCAACGGGGCCACGAAGGGCAGCGAGGGGGCCACGAAGGGCTGCAACGGGGCCACGAAGGGCAGCGAGGGGGCCACGAAGGGGCGCAACGGGGCCACGAAGGGCAGCGAGGGGTGCAACGGGGCTACGAAGGGCAGCGAAGGGGCCACGAAGGGCTGCCACGAAGGGCTGCAACGGGTCCGCGAAGGGCAACGAGGGGGCCACGAAGGGCTGCAACGGGGCCACGAAGGGCAGCGAGATCCCGATGCCCAAATTATCTGCGAGGGAATCCTAAGCATGAACGCGATTCCTGGGTGCCTGCGTGTCGGGAGCGCGACGCTTGAGTAAATTGCGGGGAATTCCAACGATTGCAAGCAAGTCTCTGGCGAGAGCGCGACCCCAGAGCGCCGAGAAAACGATTCCTGAATACATTATAAGGAAGTCCAAAGCGAGAGCGCTATTCCTGAATAGAATGCAAGGAAGTCTCAGGCGGGAGCGGGGGTCCTGGCTAAATTGTGAGCAAGTCTCAGGCGGGAGCTGCTGTTGTCGTTGTTGTTGTTGTTGCTGTTGTTGTTGTTGTTGATGTAACCCAGGGGCCAACAACACAGTTTAAGCCTCAAGACTTTCCCTGATAAGGAACAGGGTGCGAGCGCCGGGAGGGGCACTTCAATTGCAGAAGTACAATGTGCACCGGAGGGGGATCAACAATGCATCATTTGGTAATGCAGGTGCAACAACAACAATAACAACAGCAACAGCGACAACAACAACAGCAACAACAACAACAACAACGACACAACAAACACAATCTTCATCACGGATCTCCACTTCAGCCACGCGCCCAGGGACAATGAATGACCGTTCGGCCCCGTCAATCGGATTGGGAAATATCGAACGGGAGCCCTTGTCGCCGTGTCTGCAATGCGAACAAATCTCAAGCGAGAGCGCCACTCTTGAGTTCGGGGGCCTCTCTGGCAAGGGCCCCCTGCGAATCCATCTTGAGGAAGTATCGAACAATCGCCATTGTCGTCGTAGTTGGGCCACTACCAATTTGATTGAATCACGAGGAAGTCTCGAGCGAGAGCGTCTTCCTGAGTTCGGGGGCCTTCCTGGCCAGGGGCTCTCGGAGAAAATCGTGCGGAAGTATCGAGCAGGAGCCTTTGTCGTCGTGGCGGGGCCTCCGCCAACTTGACTGAATTGCGAGGGCGTCTCGAGCGAGAGCACCGTTCCTGAGTTCGGGGGCCTCTCTGGCCAGGGTGTCTCAAGGTAAATTGTGAAGAAGTATCGAGCGGGAGCCGTTGTCGTCGTAGCCGGGCCTCCAAGGGCCCACTTTTACACTCAAACCAACGCTCCCGCGGCAGCCTCGTTTTCAAAGAACATGTATCCGGCGTCGAGGCGAGAGCGCGCGGAGCGGTTTCCAGAGACCGGCCATAATTATTCTTTTGAAATGAATACACAACAACAGCAACAGCAACACTGACAACGACAACGACAAAAACAACGACAACGACAACGACAACGACCACGACCACGACAACAATCACAACAACAACAATCATTCTAAGACTGTTCGCTCTTACTTGCCCGCGTGTCATTCAAAACGAATTCCCCACACCCTCGATACCCGCCCTTCTTGTCTTTGATCACACCCCTTTGGGGGGATTCTTTCTCTTTGCGGGGGGCGGCGGGCTTAGACAGGCGGGCAAATCTGAACGGGCGGACAATCCTTCGTGGGCGTACATGTGCCCGCCATTGGAATTGGTGTGGGCCCTGCAAGAAGAGGAGGGAGAGAACGAGGGAGAGCGGGAGGAAGGGAGGGAGAGGGACGAAGGAAGAGGGAAAACGCCAGGAGAGAAGGAGCGAAGAGGGGGGCGGTCGATTAGAGGCAGAGAGAGAGAGAAAGACATATAAGAGAGGTAGAAAAAGAGAGAGAGAGAGAGAGAGGAGAGAGAGAGAGAGAGAGAGAGAGAGAGAACGGAAGAGGGAGGGAGGAGGCAGGAGAGGGGAGGGAGAAGGGAGGAGGGAGAGGAGGGAGAGTGGATAGGGCAGAGAGGCATAAGGATGAGGGAAGAGACGAAGGAGAGAGAAGGGCGGAGAGGAGGGAGGAGGGAGAGGGAGGAGGAGCAGCAAGGTAAGAGCGTGAACGTTCGAGGAAGTCCTAAGCGAAAGCGCCGTTCCTGAAGGAAGTCTCGGGCGGGAGCCCACCACGGGCGGGCGATCCCCTGACGGGCGGGTCGGGCGGGTGGGACATTCAAGCGGAATGCCTGAGTATGGCGAGAGCGCGATTACTAAGTAAATTGTAACGGCGTCCTTGGCGCAGCGTGTTTCCTGAGCGCCGAAAGCGCGATTTCTGAATAAATTGCATGGAAGTCACAAGCGAGAGCGCAATTCCTGAATAACATGTGAAGGGTTCTCTGGCGGGAGCGGGGGTTCTGAGCCAATGGCGAGGAAGTCTTGATTGAATTGCAAGGAAGTCTCAAGCGGGAGCGCCGTTCCTGAGTAAATTGTCAGGAAGTCTCAGATGGGAGCGGGGGTCCTGACAAAAATGCGAGGAAATCAAAAGCGGGATCACCGATCCTGAGTAAATTGTGAGGAAGTCTCAGGAGCGGGGGTCCTGAGTAAATTTGGAAGAAGTCTCAGACGGGAGCCGTTGCTGTTGTAATCTGGGGGGCCAGGGGCCCAGTTTGAGCACCAAGACTTTCCCTTTCAAAAAACAGGGTGCGAGCGTCGATGGGCACATTTTGATAATGAAAAAACAATATGCACCGGTGAGGGCGGATCAGCAATAATTATTCTTCAGAAATGAAAACTCAACGACGACGACGACCACGACGACGACGACGACACCAGCAACAACAACCATAACAACAACCACATCAACAACAACCACAACAACAATAATCAAACAAACAAACACGCACACAAACAAACAAACAATGTTTGATCCGCGGGTCGAGAGCGCACCTCTTCCGGTCCAAATAAACAAACAAACAAACAAACAAACAAACAAACAAACAACAATCCGCACCACAGAACCTCACTTCAGCCACGCGCCCTGGGATAGTGAATGACCGTTTGGCCCCCTCACTCTGATATACGCCTCCTGTCCTAGGCAGGAGGGCATATGTACACACCGCTGATGGGTCCAGGATGGGCCGAGCCGGTGGCAGTGGATCTGTGGCCAAACTCTGAACCAAAAAATGTTGTCATCTCTCGAGATGGCAACTCTTACTTCCGCCGCCTTCCGCTGGCCTTCCACTGGCGAAATACATTTGAAGAGACGTAGGATTCGGGTTCGGGAGACCCAGGTTGGCCTGACGGGGCCATCATGAAAATGATTAGGCCCAATGAAATTTGGCGCGGACTCCCGCTGCAAACATCCCACGAAAACTGAACCGTCAAAATCCAGGACGCGCTCGTCAAAAAGCGTCGGCGAAACCCATTTCCGGCATACCCGAGTCTTACGCTTCCCCAATGCTTCCGCCGGCCTTCTGCCGAGGAAGAGATGCCAACTTCTCGATACCTCGAAAACGACCATTTTCTCCTGGAGCGCCCCGTGTGCTGTCGGGAACTTGTCCTGAGCGTGTCGCGGCGGCGGCCCGGCGGCACGCTATCCCCTGCAAGCGGAGAACTAGCGTGCCGCTCCGCTCCGAGGGGCGGGAGGCCTCGAAAGGCTCGGGAGGTTGCTGGTCGGGGAATGGGGAAATGGTCAGCGTGTCGCGCCGAGGCGTGGTGTGGGCCAGAACCGGCGGCGCGACACGCTACGGCGGGGGCATTGCATAAGGAGGCATTGGATAAGCAATCCAGGGTCTGGAAGCCAGTGGAACTCCAATCGTGGATTGGCCATGGAAACCACCGCCTCCCTCATCAGATAAGGGACCCTCCAGGGTCTGAAGCCCCCTTGGCACATTCCTTCACGAACGCCCCCACCGCAACGCAAAGCTCCCGACCGCATAGGCAGGGAGCGGGGCAGAAGTTTGAGGCGGCCATGGGGGGTGTCTGAGCTGGTTGGGACCGTAGAAAATGGATCAGGAGGGGGATGGGACCAAACCCGTTCAAAATCGGTCCTCGGACCCGAGTTGGGGTCCACCTGGCGCAGTTTTCCAACCCAGGATCCGTTTCTGAGGGCCCCAGGGCGAACCCGAGAACGGCCCCCAGAAGCCGCAAAGGGCCAAGACCCCCAGACGGCTCCAGACCGTATACGCAGATCCCGTCGCCCTCGCGCGGGAGGGAGAGGCGGAGGAGCGGGGCGGAAGGAGGGGCGGAAACGAGAGGACAGGGCGCGGCCAGCACCTGGCCGCGCCGCGAGCGCGCGCGGCCTGCGTGAACGCGGCGCTGCCGCCTGGGCGCTTTGCGCCGCGAGGCCACTCGGCGAGGGATCGCGAGCGGCCGAATTCGGAGCCCGCTCGCAGCGGAACAAACAACGGCACAAACATCATGTCTCGGAGGTCCGCGCGGAGTTCTTGGATCGGCACTGGGGCCCCCCTGGCGGCGCCTCCGGCGCCGCCCCTGACGCGGGCCCAGCGCCGATCCAAGAACTCCGCGCGGACCTCCGAAAATTGTGTTCATGCCGTTTTGCGTTCTTCGAGCTCATTCGGCCGGCTCTTCGACTGCGGGCTGGCAGCCGCGCTCTGGCGGCGCCGCCTGGTAGCTGCCGCCTGCCGTCAGCTCCCTCACGAGCGCGGCTGAATTCGGAGCCCGCTCATTCGGCCGGCTCTTCGACTACGGGCCAGCAGCCGCGCTCTGGCGGCGCCGCCTGGTAGCTGCCGCCCGCCGTCAGCTCCCTGGCCTGGGCCGCGCGCAGCGCGGACGGCTCGCTCGTCCGCCTCTCGACTGCACGTAGCTAGTGGCCCTTCGCCGCAGGAGTGACCTTTGGTGCGGGGCTTTCGGGGGGCGCTTCGTGGCAGAGACCAGGCACGCAGGCCGCCACCATCGCACCGCACGCAACGACCTGCAACGCGCGCACCAAAGGTCACTCTTGCTTAGGGCCACTCTTACGTGCAGCCGAGCCTCAGGTGGCAGCCCGCGAGGGCCGCCAGCGCGGTGAGCGCAGCAGCGGCAGCCAGGCCCAGCGCAGTGCCGGGCGGCGCCACGGCGCCGCCGTTCGTCGGCGGCGGCCGTGGCCGCGGGCGCGGCAGCACGACCCCGACGCCGCGCATCAGGCCTCGCTCCCGCTCCCGGCGCGGGGCGCCCTCCTGCAGCCAGGATATCCACGGGGCGCTCGTCGTGGCGGCAGCCCCAGGGGTGGCCGCAGGGAGACCTGGCGTGGTCGTGGCCACCTGCGTGGCGCGGATCACGGAGCCAGCTTCCGACGTCGTCGAAGCTGTGACCGGCGCCGCCGTTGCCTGCGCGCCGGGCTCCCCCACCGCTGGCGCTTCGCGCGCCGGCTCTGGCGAGTCGCACACGGGCGAGTCGAAGCCTGTCTGGCACAGGCATCTTCTGTGCTCGGCCCATGTCCTGAACGGCTGGAAAGCCGCGTGGACGGCGTCGCAGTCGCTGCGGTGGTCGTCGTGCCGGCCGCTCAGCAAGCCCGGCTCGCTCTCCATGCGCACACCGATCAGGTCCAGGCAGAGGCTCAGGAACCAATCCTCGCCCTTGTCGGAGCAGCCTATCTCGACGACGCACCGGCCAACACCCTCCGCGTAGAGGTCTACCGCTCCACGGGAGAGCGCCTCCACGGCTCCGTGCAGGTCGCGGCCGAAGTTCGCCAGGAGCTTGGGGGCGCAGGCCTCGACCCTGCAGTGACGCCTGAGGAGCTGCCTCAACCGGACTGGGACAATCACGGCATCCGAGTCCACCTTGATCGTCCAGTCGTGGCTCCGGTAGCGACCGTCCCTGAAGACCAGGTGCCAGGCCTTCAGGAAGAGGTCCCCGTTGAGCGCGGTCTTGTACCGCCCCGCCACGGGCACGTCCAGATCTGCCTCCAGCACCGCGGACGAGATGCGGTCCGAGAGTGCGCCGAACATCTCCGAGGCCGACAGGTTGCTGATGACCAGGTGCTCGTCGCACGCAAACAGTCCGAGCCCCTCCTGGCGCAGGTGCGGCAGGAGCGCCGCCCCAGGCCCGCCTGGCGACACCAGCGACCAGCAGAACGTGGAGGGGGAGGGGTCGTGCTGCGACAGCCTCCACCTGTCGCGTGTGGCTGGAAGTGGGGCCTGGCCACAGGCGTCCCCGGCCCGTCTCGCGCCACTTGTGGGGCCCCAGGGGCCCTCTGGGCCTCGCAAGGCGTACTCTGGAAGCCACCTGCGCCTCGCTGGGGAAGGCTGGGACCACGCTGGGCCAGTGCCAGAAGTGGTCCTGGCCCACGGTGTGCCCAGCCTTTTCCGCGCCACTTCTGGGTCCCCAGTGGCCCTGGCGGTCTCGCGAGGGGCGCTCTAGAAAGCCATCTGCGCCTCCCCAGGGAATCTGGGGGCCACCTCGGGCCGGGGGAGAAAGCTGCTGTCATAAGGAACGCCGGCGACAAGCCCAAACACATCACACCGTCTTCGGCTAAGCGTGGTGCCGTGCCGGTGCAGTCGCGACGGAAGACCTGCCCCGGGTGGGTGGACTGACTTCGCGCTGTGCAGAGCGCAATGCGCAATGCGCAAGCATCCTCTCGCCAGCGCGCGAGCCCGCCCTTGAGAGGGACCGCTCCCCGTCCTTGGCAACGAAGCGCAGCCAAAGCCCCCGAGCCGAAACGAATGGGCGATGAAAAGAAACGGGCCTCACGGAGATGGCATGGCGACCGCGCCCGCGGCTGACGCAGGCCGCCAGCGCGGCACGCTGCCTTGGTGACGAGGGCGATTACGCGCGACCTTCCGCGGGCCGCCCACGCGCCAGTGCCGGGGAAGACGAGCCCGTTCTCCTCCGTCGCTCGAGTGCTGACGCCTCGCTCTGGCCTCCGCCGCCCACGCCAGCCGGCGGCCCGCCGACGGACTGGCCGCCGCCGCTCTGCTCCCTCCGGCTTGGGAGCGGCCCGGGGGTCTGCGCCGGATGGGCCCCGGGGAGATCTGCCAGCGGGGGGGGCGCAGGGCCAAGTCCTGCGCCCCCGGGGTCGGAGCGGACCGGTCCGTCGAGCCGCGCCCAGCCGCGGCGACAGAGGGCCTCCCTTCTCCCCGCTGCCTGCTGGCCAGAGCCGGTGCTGGGCCACCTCGGCCCCCCAGCAGGTTCCAACCACACACATCCGACGACGTGCTGCTGGTGCAATGCGCGGCCGCAGGGTCCCGACCGCTTCCCGAGGTCAGTTCTCCGTCCTGGATGAGTGCTTGATGGCCCAGGGGCCCGATAGGTGGGCCACCGGAGGCCGAGATCGAGGAAAAACGCCCAGATCGAAAAAAACATCTCGTCGGAGATCTGGGCCTGCCGCCCTTACCAGGGAAGCGAAACGGTGCCGATGCCACTACCTCCAGACTTCTCCTGGCAAGCTTTCTGGCCAGGATCGCAAGGAGTCCAGCTGTGGCGACGAGGGGGTTCTCCAGGACGAGCAGCGGTATTGGTTCCTCTTCCTCCCATGATTTCCGACGCTGCGACAAAAACCGCGACATCGCGAAAAAAGGCTACCCGAGCCCCAGACCCTATCTTTCTGCGGCACTTTCCGTGCCGGCTCGATCTGCAATGGTCCCAGGGCCCAAGACGGGGCGAAAAAGCCCTTTCCCTCATCCAGGGTCTAGAGAAACAGCTATCCTGGCGATGGGCCCAAGCGTGTGTAGTTGCAAGTAGCTGTAAGCACCAAAGTTGTGAGTCGTTATTGGTGGAGCTCCCCATGGGGCCACGAAACGTGTGATGGGTCTGTCGAATCGGGTGCGGGTGCGCAAGGCGGACTGTGCCAGTGGGGCCTTCGGTGGAGCTCCCGATGGGACCACGAAACGTGTCAGGGCGTCTGCTGGATCGGGGGCGGGCAGCCCATGCGGACGCAGCCACTGGAGCCTTCGGTGGAGCTCCCCATGGTGCCACGAAAAGTGTGATGGGTATGCTGAATCGGGTGCGGGTGCGCCACGCGGACGCTGCCTCTGGGGCATTCGGTGGAACTCCGCGTGGGGCCACGAAACGTGTGAGGGGTGTGCCGAATTGAGGGCGGGTGCGCCATGCGGACTGTGCCAGTGGGGCTTTCGGTGGAGCTCCCATTGGGGCCACGGAACGTGTGCGGGGTGTGTCGGATCGGGCGCGGGTACCCCATGCGAACGCAGCCAATGGAGCCTTCGGGGGAGCTCCCTATGGGGCCACGAAGCGTGGGAGGTGTGTGCCGAGTTGGGGGCGGGTTCGCCATGCAGACGCTGCCGCTGGGGCCTTCTGTGGGGCCTTCGGCGGAGCTCCCTACGGGGCCACGAAGCGTGTGAGGGGTCTGCCGAATGGGGTGCGGACGCTGCCGCTGAAGCCTTCCGGGGAACTCTCTCTGAAGCGACGAAGCGCGTGAGGGGTGTGCCGGTTCGTGGGCGGGCAGGCCCTGCGGACCGTGCCGGTGGGCTTTCAGGTAGGCTCCCTGCGGGGCCACGAACCGGTCGAGGGGTCTGCCGAACGGGGTGCGCCATGCGGACGCTGCCGCTGGGGCCTTCGGTGGAGCTGCCTTCGGGGCCACGAAGCGTGCGAGGTGTTTGCCAAATCGGGCGCGGGTACGCCATGCGGACGCAGCACCTGTGACCTTCGGTGGAGCTCCCTATGGAGCCACGAAGCGTGTGAGGGGTTTGCCGAATCGGGTGCGGGCTCGCCATGCGGACGCTGCCGCTGGGTCCGTGTGAGGGGTGTGCCGAGTTGGGCGCGGGCCATGCGGACGCTGCCGCTGGGGCCTTCGATGCAGTTGCCTTTTGGGCAACGAAGCGAGTGAAGGTGTGCCGAATTGGGCGCGGGTGCGCCATACGGACGCGTCTGCCGAGTTGGTTGCGGGTACGCCACGCGGACGCTGCCGCTGGTGCCTTTGGTGGAGCTCCGTATGGGGCCACGAAACCTGTGAGGGGTGTGCCGAGGTGACAACAAGAAGGGAAGAGGGAGGAGGGAGGAGGAAGGACCAGTGAGGAGTGAGGGACGCGGGGCGCTGTCTCTTCGAATGGACCCAGCACCACTGATACACCTGCACAAGCATAAACCTCCAGAGGTCCGCGCGGATGTCTTGGATCTGCGCTGGACCCTCCTCCCTGGCGCGCAGAGCGCGCCAGGGCTGGCGCTGGAGGCGCCGCCACGGGGGTGCCCAGCGCAGTCCCAAGAAATTCGCAATGACCGTCAAAAGTTTATGTTGATGCAGTTTTTCTTTCCTCTTCGATCCTCTGACTTCGTCTACTCGCAAGAGTGACCCTAAAGTGACCTTTGGTGCGCGGCTTTCGGTGGGCGCGGGAGGGCCAACCCCGAGCGCGCAAGCCGCTGCTATCGCATCGCATTCAGCGATGGGGGGACCCCAGTGGGCCAGCATCAAAGGTGACTCTGGCGAACGGTCACTCTTCCCTGAGATCCGACGTAGCGAAAACAAAAAAAAACACAGTGAAAATCACGACCCGAGCCCTGGGACCCCATCTTTCTGCGCCATTTTTCGAGCCGGATCGATCTGTGAGGGTCCAGGGGCCCCCGGGCGAGAGCCGCGCCAGGCTCGAAACACTTGAGATGGCAGGATCCCTGGGGCCACTCTTACGTGCGGCCGACGATTCCACTCCATGCGAGGGCCCCGGGGCGTCTGGGGCGTCCCGGCGCCCCCGCGTCGGCGGCTGGCGCGGGCCAGCCCCGAGCCGTCATGAGCTCCCCCTCGAGCCGGGGAGGCTGCCGAGAGGCCGGCGCCAGGGGCGGCACCGTGCGCCACGCCCCTGGCAGCGCTGCACGGGGTGTCAGGGCCCAGCTCAAAATTGAGACGCCGGGATCTCTGGGCTTACGTGTAGTCGATGACTCCCGCCGATCGCGAGCTGCGCCGAAGGCCGAGGCCCGCTGTTTGGGACGCACCGACCTGCGGCTGACCTGCGCGCTGACGCGGCCGCCGCCAGCCGGCCGCAGGCCGCCCGCAGGCCGCAGGTGAGCATCCGGGCCGGCCGTCTCGCCCGCCTGAGGGGGAACAGACGCAAGTGTGAAAACTCGGAGGTCTGCGCGGATGCCTCGGATTGGCGCCGGGAATCCTGGCGGCGCCTCCAGCGCCGCCCCTAGCGCGCGGAGTGCGCCAGGGAGCGGGTCCAGCGCCGATCCGAGGAATCCGCGCGAAACTCCGAGTCTTTTTTTATGTTCATACCATTGTTTGTTCCCCGACGCCTGCGCTGCGAGCAGCGCGGGTACCGCTAGCAAGAGGCGAAGCCGATTGCGGCTGCACGTAAGCGTGACGCCAGGCTCCCTGAGATCCTGGCGTCTCCATTTTTTCGAGCCGGGCACCTCTGCCCAGTTTTCGGGCCCCGGTGCTCACAGATCGATGCGGCTCGAAAAATGGCGCGGGAAGGTGGGGTCCGGCGCGCGGGCCGTGATTTTTCACGATCCAAGCAGGCGTGGCCTTTGGTGCGCGGCTTGCCGGCCGCTGCGCGAGGTACGACCGCAGCGGCCTGGCGGCAGGCCCGCGTCGTGCCGACCCTGGCTCCTGACACTGCGGGGATCGTTCATCCTTGAACGATCGGCCGTTTCCGAAACGTCAGATCGTTCAGCATCGACCGATTCTGGGCCGCTGGCGGAGTTCAACGTTGAATGCCGGCGGCGGGGTCGCCGCCGGTCGATGCGACGCGAACCCACCGCAGACAAGAGTGCCCTTTTGGGGGGAACCAAAAGGTACTGATACCGCTACTCCACGGGTCTCTCCCAGGGTGCGTTCTTGAGCAGAATTTCGAGGCGAATCCAGTGGTAGCGACGACGAGGGCATCACAGGCAATGTTATTCTTCTTCTTCTTCCTCTTCTTCTTCCTCTTATTATAATGTTTATTATTTTTATTTTTCTCATTACTAGTACTCTTTTTCAATCCTCCGGCCACAGGATAGTTGGGAGCAACTTCATAAACCTATACGACCACCCTTCGGGTGATAAGGAGGTAGGAGGTTGGGGGAGGGGAAAGAACCAACTGCTGGCAACTGCGACGGATGTGATGATGACGATGCTGGTGGCGCGCCCTCGAATTGGCGACAACGCGTGATGACGATGTTGCGCCGCGATGTGATGTCACTATCGACCCCGCTATCGATCTCACTCGATCGATCCCACTATCGACCTCACAGCAAGTCTTAGCATCGCGGCACACCACGGGACACGACGAGACACCATCGGGACACCAGGGCGGGACACCGCGGGACACCATCGGGACAGAGCGAGACACCACGGCGGGACAGCCCCAGCCACCGCGCGTCCACCGGAGGGCCAGACTTTTGCATCAGAATCGCCCTACCCACGGCGGGTTCATTCCTCTCGTGCGCCCACGGCGAGACACCGCGGGACACCATCGGGACAGAGCGAGACACCACGGCGGGACACCCCCAGCCATCGCGCGCCCACTGGAGGGCCGGACTGTTGCATCCGAATCGGCCTAGCGACGGCGGGATCATTCCTCTCGCGCGCCCACGCAGCTTCGCCTCGCCCGCGCGCACGACACGAACACGAAAACGTCTTGGATCCCCGCTGGACCCCTAACTACAAAGGCCCGTTCCCCGAGACCCCCCCCCTCGAGACTACAAACGCCCTTCCCCGGACGGCCCCTTCTCCCGACTATGGGGACCGCCATGGACGATCCGTAGCCCCCGAGCACTGTTGAGGTGCTCGTAGGTGGACCCCGCGGGCGCAGAAGGCAGCGCCTCTCAGTTTTTCTCCTTCGATCCTCTGACTTCGGCTACTCGCAAGAGTGACCCTAAGCAAGAGTGACCTTTGGTGCGCGGCTTTCGGTGGGCGCGGGAGGGCCAACCCCGAGCGCGCAAGCCGCTGCTATCGCATCGCATTCAGCGATGGGGGGACCCCAGTGGGCCAGCACCAAAGGTGACTCTGGCGAACGGTCACTCTTCCCTGAGATCCGACGTAGCGAAAACAAAAAAAAAAAAACAGTGAAAATCACGACCCGAGCCCTGGGACCCCATCTTTCTGCGCCATTTTTCGAGCCGGATCGATCTGTGAGGGTCCAGGGGCCCCCGGGCGAGAGCCGCGCCAGGCTCGAAACACTTGAGATGCCGGGATCCCTGGGGCCACTCTTACGTGCGGCCGACGATTCCACGCCATGCGAGGGCCCCGGGGCGTCCGGGGCGTCCCGGCGCCCCCGCGTCGGCGGCTGGCGCGGGCCAGCCCCGAGCCGTCATGAGCTCCCCCTCGAGCCGGGGAGGCTGCCGAGAGGCCGCCGCCAGGGGCGTCACCGTGCGCCACGCCCCTGGCAGCGCTGCACGAGGTGGTGGCGCGGGGGGGAGTCGCCTTCTAAGAGGCAGGTTTCAACGGGTCGTCGTCGTCGTCGTCGTCGTCGTCGTCGTCGAGGTCGAGGTCGTCGTCGTCGTCGTCGTCGTCGTCGTCGTCGTCGTCGTCGTCGTCGTCGTCGTCGTCGTCGTCGTCGTCGCCGAGGCGCGGGGGGCGCTTCATGGAAAGCAGGCTGCAGCCATCGTGCTGCCAGAAGGAGAGCCGACTGCGTGACGGAAGGGACTCTTCTGGGCACGGCCCCGGCCACGCACAGGCTCCCCGACCACGGCCTGAGGAGCGGCCCGAAAACCGGAGCCGCTCCTGAGGCCGGAGTGGCCCTGTCTGGTCAGCGTCTCGGCTGTACGACCCCGGTTCGCCCGCCCGCGCCGAGGGGGGGAAGCGAGCTCACGTGCAAAGCGCACGCCAGGAGAGAGGAGCGCACTGCCGCCGGCAGACAGAGGGGAAGGCTAAGGGGGTTCACGTTTTCGGGCCAGCATCAGGAGCTCCCGGGTCTGCAGCTCCCGACACTTCAAGGGCACGCCTGCCAAGAGGGCGGCATCCTTGCTGCCAGACGCTCGGCTGATCAGAAGGTGGCCCGCGAGGACAGGCATGGAAGTGTCCCCTCGGAGTGCACTGGCCACTCGGAAATGCCGACACGCCCGCACCCATCCTCCTCGTCTTCCTCTACCCATCACCACAACCACCACATCACCGCCACCACATCACCATCGTCATTACCGTCATTATGATCATCATCAACAGCAGCATCAGTATCAGCCTCAGCAGCAGCATCATCACAACCACCACCATCATCCTCACCATCACCATCACCATCACCATCACCATCACCTTGATCATCAGCATCATCATCATCAGCATCATCATTATCATTATCATCATCATCATCATCATCATCATCATCATCAGCATCATCATTATCATCGTCAGAATCCTCATACCCTCGTCGCCGTCGTCGTTGTAATCATCGTCATCATCATCGTCGTCATCGTCATCGTCATCGTGATCGACCTCGTTATTGTCGTCGTCATCGTCATCGTCATCGCCGTCGTCCGTCGTCGTCGTCGTCGTCGTCGACCTCGTCATCGTCGTCGTCATCGTCATCGTCCATTGTCGCCATCGTCCATCAAAATCACTATAACCATCACCGTAACCATTACGATCATCAACATCAACATCATCATCTTCATCGTCGCCGTCGTCATCGACATCATCACCGCCGTCACCAATATCACCATTACCACCATTATCAGCATCATCAGCATCATCACCATCCTCAGTATTATGATCATCATCACCATGTCCATGTTCGTCCTCATCCGTTCCCTCTTCGATCCTGCCTCCACCGCGATCGTTCGCCTCAGCTCCTCTTCGTCTCCTCCACCCCATCCTCCTGCTTCTCCTGATCCTCCTGCCCCTTTTTCTCCTCCATATTTCCCTCCCCTATCCCCCCCCTCTTCCTCCTCCTCCGCCTCCTCCTCCTCCTCGTCCTCCTCCTCCTCCTCCTCCTCCTCCTCCTCCTCCTCATGCTGCAAGTCTTCGGGGAGGATTGGCATGGGAACCATAACGGCGTTTCCTCAGGCCACTACGTTCAACACGAACGCGAACGATCAATCACTTGAGCCAAGCGGCGTCAATCGCGACACACGCACGGCAACAAGAGTACGACCATTCTCCTGACCCCAGGGAAATGAGGGCTGTTGTGCCTTATGCGGCAGAGATCGTAACCACTGTTGGTTAACCATGCAGCGGCTGTCCTTCACCCACGTGTCGACGTCGCGACCTGGCAACATCACTTGCCACAGAACTGATTATTTCGATGCCTAACGCCGAGAGCATTTAATGGTAACGAGCCAGCATACGCGTTGATGGAACGGACGTTGGTGGACATCGAAGCCGTCAGGGTCGTCTGGTACCAGACGATCGCAGGTGGCTCCAGGTCTGCCTAGAGCTCATCCCGGTTTAACTCCTCGAGGTTATCTTACTGTTGGTAAACCACTTCCAAGCCATCGGCAATCTTGAGGCAACACTCGGCTAACTTTTGGGTGGCGAACCCAGCGGCCACGGTGCCCTTGGCAATCTCCCCATGGTTACTCCAGGATTCCGCGTACAGCACTTGAACTCCGATAGTGAATGGACGCCAACGCCAGCTTATGCCAAACTACATTAAGCCCAACTCCAGCAACTCCTTCTTAGGTAACTCCGGAAGGTCCTGGATGTAGATCTGTGACTATGGAACGTGACTCGGGAACCCTGGACGCGAATGGGCGGTACAGTTAGGGAGTAACTCTGCGAGGCTCCTGGGTGCCTGGTGACCACGGGGCAACTTGGATTGCAGTGCTGAGTTGCCGGAACCTATGACTCATGCTGTTCGGCCCTGTGCCCAGAGAGCTCGGTCTGCCACGCAGGCGGGCCCTCTAACAGCGCCATGGGTAACTGCCAGTTCATGTCCCCGAATGGCGGCACGAAGCTCGTCTGGAAACTCTCGCAATCGTATTGGGTAACCTCGTTGTCAAGAACATATGTAAATAACCTGGGAGCTGTCTCGCCGATGCACTTGCCACTACAACTGCGCCAGAAGATGTGAGTCGTCTGTTTTTGTGGAAACAGAAACTAGACATAAAACAGTGCATAATAAAAAACCGTTGGAAAAGGCCGTGAAATTGGGGTCATATACATGTCGCTGTAAACTGGAGGCCCACGGAAACACGTGAACAATGTGGTATGTTCCAGGACCTCATGATGGCGACCTTGTCGCGGGCGATCTGCTCGTTTGCAACAGGCACCTCCGCATGTGACGGATTACCCACCTGAGGTGGGGAAGTTGCCCCAGAAGCACCCCCAAACGCGGGCTCGTCGGCTGGACCCGGACGCTGGCGCGGGTCGGCCGGCAACGCGCCCGCCCCCTTGGCTTCCTCCGTAACCACTGCCGAGGGTGCCTCTTGAGACAGGTTAACTCCGATGACTGACGCTCCCCCGCTGCTCGACGCACCTCCAGCTCCTCTGGGCAACGGTTCCCCGCTAGGGTTCGTGCCGTCGCCACGTGAGTAAAGATCACCCATCTTGGACCTGGACTGGCAGCGCCTCTTGGCTGACTTGTCCTCCTCGGTCACCTCGGTCGGTGATGGACTCGGGAGCAGTGGCGCAAACGTCCGGTTGTCGGATGGTGACAGGGGCCGCACCTTACTAGTAACCTCTGCGACGCTGGACTTGCCATGGGATACGTAATCGCTCACCGAGTACACTCTGTCGGATATCTCTTCCATTTGGGACGTAACGTCGGCTTTGACTTGGATCTGGGCCGGCTCGGGTAACCGTTGGACAATTCTCGAAGCATTATTGGCTTACTCCGCGATCCTGGCCACGTTGTTCGCGATCTTGCGGTGTTTGCCAGCCCGTGCATCCTCGTCGTTGTCCTGCGCCATGCTGAGCTGGAAAATCTGCTCCTCGAGCAGCTGGTACGTTCTTTTGGACTTGCCGGGGTTGCTTTTAAACATCGCTGATCTCCTCGTTGGCCCTGGCGCCTCGGATGCGGGCATTGAACGCCTCCTGTAACGCTGCATCGGAGTCCACCGTCAGTTGTAACTCGGCAGGATGCACGTTGCGGCTCGTCTCGGACTGCTCGACGTAGCGGCGGGCACAACCCTCGGTCGCGTCGAGCACCAGGCCCATGCGATCCATGATCAACTTCTGCTTGGCCATGCGCTCCTGGAGATGATCCATGGCAGTTTCTTCTCCTGGACGAGGCCCGACTGCGGCAGCGGGCTCCTGGCCGACCAGGAACGTCACGCGCTCGGGAGCGGGGCGGCCATGGGCGGCCGTCAGACGCCATTTTACAAGCGGCGGCTGGCAAGTTGGAAAAGTTTGGGAACTGGGGAGGCAGTAGCAGTAACTCCTTGATCTCAAACAGCTGCGGACATTCAACATTCAGTGGCCGGTGCGAACGGGCTACTTCAAGCGCGAGCTGACTTGTGTCACGCATGTGTTCCCTGAACACTTCCCTGCCAACGTATTTGTTTAACGTTTCCGCCAGATTCTCACCAGTATAACCCTTGACTTCTCTTATGTTTTCTTTCCTTACTTCCACTTTAACTTGGCAGATTTCTATATGCCTCGCCTTTCCTGACCCTCTACTGCTGACTATAGATACTGCGCCACTCGTATCAATCTTGAGAGTTAAATTCGCCTCAACCTCAAAATCCTTCAATCGAGATTGCATGCCTAACCCCACTGACGCTCTTGTCATCATGCCAGAATGCTTTGCTTCACCAGGCGATCGTGCTATAACAATATGGGTCGAACTCCATGAGTTGATGATATATTTCCCCACATGACTACTCCCCACTCGTAGACTTATTTGACTTCTTGCATCCTGCGTAATCAGTGTCTGTCAGTATGGTTAATTCCTCGGGTACCTCCTGGTACTCAGATTGGTAGCTATACCTCCTGTGCGTTTTCGAATACTTCCCGAGTTTAAAGAAGGTTTTCCAGGACCCTCTGGTGGAACATGAAATGCTTCAGGCAAGCTCCATTTCCTGCGAACTGAACATCTGATCGATTGGGAGCCAGGTAGCTAGCTCTCGCCACCAGCGCTTGATACTTCTTCGCGTCCACTGTGGGCAACTCATCCTAATCCGTTTTCAAAATTGGGATCACACCTCTCACCTTGGCGCCGCGCACAATCGAGGCCTGTCCGTTTTCAAGTCGGGGCTCTCGCCTTGGCGCCGCGCGCACAATCGTCTTACACAAACCAAGCAGGTACACGGATGGAGGGCGGCCCCTTTTCAAAATGGAGCTCCGGCTGAGGTTTCCTCAGCTGGCTGCTCAGCCGTGTGTGGGGGGGGGCGGCTCCTTTCTAAAATGGGGCTCTGGCTTGAGATGCCGCTGACTAGTATGGACAGATGTCTCTCGGGCGCACGC